TTAACAGCGAAAATAGAGCTTTAATCAATTCCTTGTTAAATGGCAGCGTTTTAAAGCAATTAGCTACCCATTAGCAAAATTGAATTCCACTCATTTCCCATTGATTTCGAATGCAGATGTGGCGCGTCATCTCTTGCGATACATACCTATACCTAGATAATGTATGCGAAAGGAGGAGCTTTAATTTTTCAAAAACGGCCAACATTATAGCGGAGTGTGGGCCCTAACGAGGATTACATAATTCGAGTTAACACGCTAGCAACGTCAATCGATGTGGCTGCCTGGTCGCCATAGAGACACTTCCGGCGCACAGCGCCGCTGTTACGGAGCGACGCCTAACTAACTCTCGAGAAAGATAACAACAAGACGCTTTTCCCAAATTACTAGACTAATACCAACTTATAATCGCAATGTGTTGTATTATTCCCTCCTTTTGTTATTAAACAGAGGCCCGAAGCGAGCCATTGTCTTGCTTTGAATGTAAAATGGAACCCGTTTGAGGGTTTTGATAACGAAACAAATAACGCTTTGTTTTCGGCCCTTCTCAGTTGCTACCTATTCCATTTTTTATTTCTGATTTTAAGCAGACGCGCTAAATTTCATTGTGAAAATTTCAATTATACTCTAATTGCTTGCGTAGTTAAGGGAATTTTATGCAAGGTTGATTCGAGCCAATGAGTAGCAAATGAAAGTGAAAAATGTAAACAAAACTGATTGCTCGCCAAGTGAGTGAACTAGGCCGACTGAACCTCGACCATGTCTCATCTAATCGGACTTTACCCGTCGATTCCAACAGATTCAAGCACCTCGTGTAGTTCAAGAGCAGACCCAATTTGACCGTACGGATACGCCTTGACTCGCTGATATGTCTTGATCACCCATTCCCAGTGGCTAGTTCACTTAAACATTCGGCGTGACTAACGAACTCGCCTGGACCCAGGACCCGACTCCTAGTCTTCCTCAAGTTTTTGATAGCATTTGATTTTATCATTTGGTCCAATTTGCATTTCAATAAAAGTTGTGGATTGAAAGAAACGTAGGTTTTTTTCTATAATTTTAAGGGAAAAAGGGGATATCAGAGGTCTGAGGACCCACTTGAATCCACCAGCCAACTGGGAAATGTTAATTTTCTTCTTGTATACTAAGGGTTTAACAGTTAGCAAGAGCACTAATTAATCGTCTTTAAACTTTTTACCGCTGGCCGTTCAATCCAGAATCTTATTATGAACCCATATAAACAACAGACGCGCACAAATTTGATTAGCAAACTAGTTTTTTTTTGCCGTAACTAACCACGCCAAGTATAAACACAATGAAACGTTCTGTACTTTTGACCACAATGCTTTCGAAGTTCCCTTTTTTGCATAATTAAGCCACTTTATATTAATTTTACTCGTAATGGCAACTCGCAGAGAATTAAAAAGCACACACCACACTAATTTCGTCGAAGTGACGGCACAGTTTCTTGTAATGCAGCAATTAATTTCACCTTTCCCTATAAAAATCTCACTTATTAATCTTTTGTATACCTTGATTATAAGAATTCGTCTTGAAACTTTCAGTTAGTTGAAAATAGTTTCGTCTTGAAGGTTCAGCGAAAAACCTCTCACTCCCACTTAATTTTCCTAATGTAGTCGCCGAATCAAAAAACCGAAACGGACCCGACACAAACATCGCGTTTTTTAGACCCATGCAAAGATATAGCATAAAATCCGTCCGTCATGCTCCGTAAAAAGATCTTTAGAACACTGTGATGTTTTCAGTCTTATCAGCTTATCAGATGACACGGATTATTTACCGTAACTTCTATTTGACGCACCAAAGCATTTAAATGGTACCTCTAGTTTTTACGCGACTTGTGGAACGAAATCTTCCCAAATTGTTTCGGTGATTTATCGGTGTATGTAGTAATATCTATAGGTAATTTCTCTAATCCGATAAAATTAAACTCAAAAATTTCTGTTTTAAAATTAAATTAAAACTTCAAAATTTTACAAGTTCTGAAGAAATGGTGCAGGAATGTTGGCTTACCAAAAAACCATCGCAGACAAGGTCGCTGATTAGCTACGTCACCGTGAAATCTGAGGTCCAATGTAATTCAGCATATCGAGTAATCTACGACATGTTCAAAAGCATATTTTCCAATGATTTTAGCGTCGTCTCC